AAACCGACTCTCCTCAGGGGTCAACAGGAAGGGTAACTCGCATGGGGAAGAGGGGAATCCTGGCCAACCCTGTCACGGGCCTGGTCCTTGCTCAGCTGGCCCGCTCTAGATCCTGCCCAGGCCTGAGTAGCAATTAATCACCGCTGCTCCGTGAGCCTCTGGCATAATTATCTCGTGTTACGAGTAAAGTGTCACCTGGCAGAGCGCAGGATGTGGAGGGCCCGCTGCGTCTTTCTCTCAGCCTCTGGCTGCAGCTGGCACAAGTGTGGGGGGACAATGATGACAAACGCATGGTGGCGTCTGGGGCCAGCTGCTGAGCGGTACACGGGGACACAGTGGACCCAGGGGGATCCAGCACCCCACCAGGGCAAACAAATCACCTGTGAGCGTGCCCTGCACTGTGCAATAAATCGTATAGCACAGAACGAAGGCGAGAGGACAGCAACTGTCACAGAGGCAGGGCACACACGGGAAAGAGGCAGAATTTGAAGGGTGGCACAAAGGGTGGGTTGTCCCGGCCTATTTGAAGAACTGTGGAGCCTCCTCGCTGTGGTAGGAAGGGGAAGCGAGGCCTGGAGGTCAGAAAGGCTGCTACACAGGTTCCTAAGGAGTTTGACTTCCACGCACACAGTTTTCTGTTGCCAACTAAGCCACGACCTTTGGCGGTGGGGCCCTGTCTATAACTTCCTGTCCGTCCGTCCGTCCTTCTCACAAACATTGATGGGGCATCTCCTATGTGCCAGCCTGGCCCTCGACACCTGCCGGGGACAAAATCAAGTCCCTGCCTGCAGGGACTCCCATCTTTTGGAGAAAGGGAACCCTCCAGGCTCACCTCTCCCGCCCCTGCGGGATGTCGCCGGGTCCCCGCAGCCGCCAGGTGGCGCTCTGCACCTGCGCACGGGATGTGGGCCCGGGTCGCCCTGCCACCGTGGGACCTGGGCAGGGGGAGGAGCGGCCGGGGGCGGGGCCGGCACCGTAGGTTGTGTGACTTTGGATTTGACCTGCCTGGAGATGTGCTAATCCCGCCATATAATAGTCTCGAGCAGATAGGAAAATGGCTGCTGCGCTATCTGCGTCGCCATGGGGACCATCGCGCGCGCATAGGCGGGGCGCGAGTCTGGAAAAATACAGCCTTTGTCGGCGACTCGTGTCACTCATGGCGCAGGGACCGGGCGGTGGGGCTCGGATCTGCTGCTCCAGCTCCGGAGCGCCACAGAGAAGCTCTGGGCTAGGACTCCTGGGCGTCCCGAAACTCCTCAGGCCACCCTTCTAAGCTCCATTCCCCCCACAGTATCTCTTCGCTAGCGCTCCTGGCACGTGGCTCAGCCCGCCCAGATGCTTTGGCGTCCATCACCTCTGCACACACCGATCTGTCTCTTCCCCAAGCCGCAGGGTCCACACCCATAGCTTGCTGCAACTCTAGCAACCCCTGGGCAGCTTGCTCCCGAGGATGAGTCCCCCTGCGGGCCCGGGCACCCACCAAAGACACGCCAGGCAGCCGGGCACGCACACGCTCTCAAGCCTGCAGCCCGCGAGGCGCACACGGCATTTTTTTTTGCACACGGCAGAGGGCGACCCTGCGCGCGCGCCGCACATCCCCTCTGCCGTGCGCTCCGGAACTGCACCTCCTGCGAGGACATCGAGGCACTCAGCGAGCGCACCCGCCACACTGGGCGTGCACACCCACTCCTCACGCTCACATGTGGCCGGCAGGCTCAGCGGCCGTCGTGGGTCACTCAGCAGCCATGCTTGCCACGCGTGTGCACACGGGCGCTTCGGACCACACACTTGCTTGGCACAACTGCACGCATGTCCACGTCGTGGTTCGCTTCGTGTCCGCGCCCACGTGTCCCTCCACGCACGCTGGGCCGGGGGGGGCGCTCGGTGGCCTAGCGCACGCGGCGCCCCTCGCGGACGCTATCTCCCTGCCCATCAGCGCGCGGATCTGCGCCGGTAAATGCTGCTTTCCAGGGAGGCCGCATTTGTTGTGCGCGCTCTGAAAGGGCTCCGATAATCTGGAAGGCAGAGATAAGGAACACCATTTATTCCGCGGCACTTTGGAAACAATTCCCAGCCCGGTACAACCCCATTCTCGGGCAGCCTCCGGGAGCCGGGCAGATAACGATTGGCTATTCATTTGACCCCTCAGCGCCGGCCGGTCTGGGTGCCCAGCCGAACTCCTCTGTGTCCCCGCCCTTCCCGTGCTCGCTCCCCGCAGGGCGCTCAGTCTCTCCTCTCTCTTCTTTCCGTCTCTCTGGCGCTGTCTTCTCTATCTCTTTATCTCTTGGCCCTTGTCTTTCTCTGACCAACACTTTCTCTGCCTTTATTCCCATCGCTCTGACCTCCCTGCCACTTGTTAGATGTTTTTCTGTCTGTCTGTCTCTTAGTGTCCTCAACCCCTAGCCCCCAGGCCTGCCGGTGCCCCTGTCCCTCTCCATGGCTACTGCTTTTATAAATCTATCCTTAGGGCTCCCTGTCCCCTCTCCCGTCCCTGTCTCTCTGGGTTTCTCTACACTGGGCGTCCTCATCTGTCCATCCATCCCGGTCTGCACCCCCAGGCCCCCAGGCCTCCTGCCGTTTGTCCTCTGCGGGCTGGGCACCTGGCTAGGGTCCAGTGACCAGCTCCACCCGGCCAGCCCAGCCCTGCAGGGCCACAGCAGGTAGGGTCCTGTGCCCCCTCCCAGAGAACCAAGCAGAACTAGAAAAGGTTCCAGACACCCAGGTCCTGGGGTGCAGCGTGGCTGTCTGGCCCATGACCCACGCCAGTGGAGCGGGTGGTCCCAGAGAGGCCACCTCATTAGAGCAGTTATTCAGTGTGGCGCTGGCGAGGGCAGATAAGCTTATCAGTCCATCTCCCCCTCCCACAGACAGACAGAAAGGGCCCAAGCAAACGGCACCCCGGAGCTGTACTCATGGCAGCCCTGCTGGTTAGGGAAGGTGCGGGTGGCTGGTGATCCCAGAGGGTACACACACCATGTGACACCCATGGGTCACAGGCACAACCCAGCCCTGGGTAGAGAGACACATAGTTCCAAGGTATGGGACTGCAACATGGGGACATAAACAGCAACTCACAAGCACAATGGGACACATCTGCCCCTCCCTGCCCTCGGTCTAAATTTATCCAAGGGTACCTTTGTCATGAATGAGAGAGCTGGGCGTGGTGGCACACATTAGTAATCCCAGCTGCTGAAGCAGGCTGAGGCAGGAGGATGGCAAGAGTGAGGTCAGTTTGGGCAATTTAGTAAGACCTTGTTAGAAACAAACAAGGGATGGAGATGTAGTTCAGTGTTCCCTGGCTCCAATCTCCAATACCACACATATATGCACAAAATAGAAAAATGAGGGCTGGGGATGTAGCACTTAGTGATAGAGCACTTGCCTAGCACCTGTAAGCCCCTAGGTTCAATTCTCAACACTGCA